AGTTTACAGATTAGTAGATGAGCAGTAGAAGAGGCAGATTAGTAGGTGAGGCAATCTGGCACAGAGAAACCTGTGTGTGCCAGATTATAAGCGTAAGACACAGTGGGGGAAAAAAGGGAGTGCTTAAGTCAACTTGGGAAGTTAGGGAGGGCTTCCCAGAGGAGAACAGGATTCAAGATTTGATGGATAATCAGGAGTTTGTCTGACAGATAAAAGCAACTGAGAGAAGAAGGGCCTGAGACAGAAAGCAGGTTGTTATTGCCTTTCAGGACAGTTGGGATGCTGGAGCCAAGAACAGAGCTGGAACAAAGTTAATGTTATTTTTATAAGCTAGAAAAATATCAGCAGCAGGAGCCCTGGCCAGAACTACCCCCACAAAGTACAAACAAAGCTACTCCTATCTTCTGACTGTCTGCTGGAGAACTTACTAACCAGCACCTTAAGAACAAAATGTTCTTTCATCATTGATTTTTATTCCCACAAAGTCCTTCCTCCTCTTTTTCCAGAACTGGGAAAAGCATGGGTTGAGTTTTGCTTGCTTCTTTGATCTTTATCCTCCCATCCCAGGCCTCCCTTGGGAATGAAAGTTCAGGGGTATTTCTCCAAAGCAGAATGCTGACCCCTCATACTAGTCAGAATGTGGGGTCTAAAGCAGGCCATGCCAGGTCAGCATTTGAAGTGACTACAGTTGTCAGGGTTTGTTGGTGAGAGGCCTGGATGGCCTCTCCCTGGATGGCAATTCCGAATCCAAAGCTGCTCTGTATTTGACATTCAGAAATCTCTTAACATAGAGTTCATTTAGCCAGTTCTTGAGAGTATTTCTGACCTCAACCTATACAGAATCACAAAGTAGTGAATCCTGCATTCTGCTGTCTCTCACTCTCTCACTGCATAAAAGGAAACAAACGTTCTGAGAAGCACCATATTTGTAGGCAGAGACAAAATCTAAATCCAGAACTTAAAATTCCATGTTGAGTGCCCTTATCATAGCATCACAATATGTCTCAGGGATTAGCTGTCCCAAACCTATATTATTAAGCTACAAACATGCAGGCAGGAGAGAACAATGAGAATTTTCCTTCCAAAACGAATGGACTTTGCCTGATTTGTTCACTGCTGATAATCTCCAGTGCCTAGACCAATCACTGACAGGTTGCATTCACTCAATTATATTTAGTTAATATAGAGTTGGACCCATGGACAACCTTTTCAAGACTTTCAGGCCTCTGTTCACCTCTACATCCTAATAGGGGTATAGGAAGGGCAGAAATGAGAGGAAACATTTGCTCCCAGGCCTCCTATCTTTTTTGATATATCCTAATCTTGGATTGGCTGTAAGGTGAAGGGTAAAGGAAGAGGCGTAAGAAGGCATAATAAGGATAAAACATAGTCAACATACATTAAGTAAGTCTGTACTATCCCATTGTCATGGACTAGCACCTTCCTGTGCCCTTCCCAGCCACTGCTGGCATCTAAGTTCAGGCCTTAAAGAATCCAAGATTCTTATTCTATCTTTCCATTTAAAAAAAAAAAAACTATTCTATCTTTCCACTAACAAAAAATATGGGGGAAAGTTACTAACTTACTGCATTAGTCCGTTTTTATGCTGCTGATAAAGACAAACCTGAGACTGGGAAGAAGAGGATGTTTAATTTGATTTACAGTTCCACATGGCTGGGAGGTCTCACAATCACGGCAGAGGACAAAAGGCATGTCTTACATGGTGGCAGCAAGAAAGAATGAGGAAGAAGCAAAGGCGGAAACCCATAATAAACTCATCAGATCTTGTGAGACTTACTATCACAAGAATAGCATGGGAAAGACCGGCCCTTATGATTCAATTGCCTCCCCCTAAGTCCCTCCCACAACACGTGGGGATTCTGGGAGATATAATTCAGTTGAGATTTGAATAGGGACACAGCCAAATCATTATCATTCCACCCCTGGCCCTTCCAAATCTCAGGTCCTCACATGATTTCAAAACCAATCATGCCCTCCCAACGATCCCCCAAAGTCTTAACTCATTTCAGAATTAACCCAAAAGTCCACAGTCCAGTCTCATCTGAGACAAGGCAAGTCCCTTCTACCTATGAGTCTGTAAAATAAAAAACAAGCCAGTTACTTCCTAGATACAATGGGAATACAGGTATTAGGCAAATACAGCCATTCCAAAGGGGAGAAATTGGACAAAACAAAGGGGTTGCAGGGCCCAGGCAAGTCCAAAATCCAGCAAGGCAGTCAAATTTTTAAAGCTCCAAAATGATCTCCTTTGACTCCAGGTCTCATATCCAGGTCACACTGATGCAAAAGGTAGGTTCCTATGGTCTTGGGCAGCGCTGCCCCTGTGGTTTTGCAGGGTACAGCTTCCCTCCCAGCTGCTTTCCCAACAGTCCTCCAAAGTCTTAACTCATTTCAGAATTAACCCAAAAGTCCACAGTCCAAAGTCTCATCTGAGACAAGGCAAGTCTCTTTCACCTATGAGCCTGTTACCCAGTACCAAAGTTGCATCCACATTTTCAAATATCTTTTCAGCAACGCCCCACTCTACTGGTACCAATTTACTGTATTAGTCTGTTTTTACGCTGCTGATAAAGACATACCTGAGACGGGGAAGAAAAGGAGGTTGTTTGACTTACAGTTCCACATGGCTGGGGAGGTCTCATAATCATGGTGGAGGGCAAAAAGCACCTCTTACACGGTTGCAGCAAGAGAGAATGAGGAAGAAGCAGAAGCGGAAACCCCTGATAAAGCCATCAGATCTTGTGAGACTTATTCACTGTCATGAGAATAGTATGGGAAAGACCAGCCTCCATGATTCAATTACCTCCCTCTGGGTCCCTCCCACAACATGTGGGAATTCTGGGAGATACAACTCGGTGGAGATTTGAATGGAGACACAGCCAAACCATATCACTTAAAAGCATTTACATTTTACGGGGAACAAAAGGCTTAAGCCAAAGCTTCTAAGGGTAAAACTTCTGCCACTGAATATCTCTGTATGAGGGTCATTGGCAGTCTCCCCTCCTGGAGGACATAGTGAGTCCTGGGCAGGAGTGAGAAGGTGGGTTTTGGCATGTCCCTGAGGGAAGTCTGGGAAACTGACAAGGAAACTGTAGTGTCTGCAGCTCTTCAAGCAGCAGTTCTCTTTCTTTCAGCATATGCTGGTCCCAGCCAAGTGCCTGTCACCCAGGTAGGGGTGGATGATTGACACTGTCACCCCAGGGATAATTTTAAAAGCATGATAGGGAAAGCTTTTGTGGCCTCACGCATGATCTGGAATGTCAGGATTGCTAGGGCACAGAAACACTCCATGTCTTTCTAGACCTTAAGTTCTCTCTGTGCTTGTACATAAAAACAAAAATCTTAGCATTCCAATCAAAAGCACACATTGCTCACAATGAAAAGTATTTGGAAAGAAACAACCTTGCCTGTAATCGGAACTACATCACATAGCATTCAATCAACCTACATATATTATGAGTTGTTTACTAATTCTTAGGTACTGTTTTAGATCCTGAGGACAGAGAGATGAACAGGACAGACATGTTCATAGACTGATGAGAGCGCTATTACTCTGGAAGTCCATGTAGTATGTAGAACAAGGCACCATTTAATAATCTGTTGCATAAGAAGGCAGATTAATCTTTACTATTTAAAGCCATCTCACTTTATTCTTGCCTTAATGTGACTATTCATTTAATAAACTTATAAGCAGCTATAGGAGCCAGATATAGGGCTTGGCATGAAGGATACAGGACAAATAACCTAATGTTCCTGCTCTCAAGGAGTTCACAGTCTAATGGAAATGATAAGCAGATATATTAGAAATTACAATGCAATATGATCATTTCTTCAAACAGTTTGCTGAAGAAAGCATAATTTCGAGAATTTCTAAATACACCTGAGTGTTTCATGGAAGGCTATGCAGAGCAGAAAGCATCTGATATGGGTCTTGCAGTTAGAGGAAGAGTTAGCCAGCTGGAGTAGTGGAGGACCAATCATTCTGGGCAGAGAACATGTGTGCCAAGTCACAGAGGTGTAAATGCATGGGCACAGTAAGGGCAGGGCTGATGGAAGTGTCTGAAAGTATACACACATAAAATGGAAACACAGCTCAACAAAGCAGTGCCTTCCCTTACTTTGTGAAATGTACTCTGATGTTTTCTACTTTGTTCTATTCAATTCTGTTCCATTCTGTTGTGCAAATTCAGTGGTCATGTCCCACTAAATTGATCTCATGAATTATAAATCATAGTTTAAAACAAAACACTGTTAGAATGAAAGGCTAGGGAAAAAATATATGGCTATAGTTGAGACAAGAGATGCTGAGAACCAGAACAACCTCCCCTGCAAAAAAACACACACAACCTGCAATAAGGATGAGGAAGACGATAGTCATCATTCTTTACTGTAATTCTTTGTTTCCCTGTGTGTTTTCCCATTAAAATCTGGGGAAGAGACCTTGGTTTTATTTGGTTTTGTTTTAAGTTCACTGTCTCCTAGCACCATGCCTGGACATGGTAAGTGTTCAACGGGTGTTTTGGGAATGAACAAATGAATACATGAATGAAAGGCTTGAGAGTTATGTAGAAGATAAAATCAAGACTACAAGCAAGGAACTGGATATAGGACATAAGCCAAATACATTATTAAAATAAATCTATGAGACTTATATGGGTTTTGGAGTACCATTACAAAAAAACAGTAGAGCTAAGTGTGGTAAGAAATTAACATATCTTTTCTGAATTTTCAGTGAACAAAAGAACTATGCAGAAAGTTATTCAAATAAATTTTTTTCTATTGCCATGTATAAAGAAATTAATACAATTATAAATAAATTTTATCATTAATGAAAAGTTCTATAATTCTATCCAAATGCCTAATCTTGAACACCAAAGTCTTTGACCTTTGCTTTAAAAACAGAAAAGGAGTGTCATCGGTTCTAGGGAATATTCCATTTGAATACGGTTTTGGCTGTAGGCAACAAATAAAGAGATTACCTAGTCCTCCTGCATGGGCATCAATGAGTGAAGCTGCAACCGCAATCCCAGGGAGAAGGCCAAGGTCTCTTGCTGCCTCTGGTGTGAGCCCATTTCCAAGAGAAGCTCCAGGAGGCAGCACTTGGTTTCCTGGGTAGACATGAGAAAAAACAAACACATCAGTTTGAAAAACACAAAAGTAAACAGAGGGTTTTATTTAAGAGAAACTCTTTGCTCCCTCCTCCCTCCTCTGCATTTGCAAAGATAAAAACCATGCAGTCATCAAGAGGCCCTTTGCTCATCCAGTGACTTTGATGTACATGCTTGGTACCTATGGGTCATGTTCTGGGGAGCTTTACAAACCAGGAGCTCTAAAGCATCATTCAAACCAAAGATTCTGAAAATGGAAAATTTCAAAAGGAATATAAACACAGTAGCCTCTTAAATACAAGGTTCAAATGCTCAAACCATTCCAAATGGGCTTCCTAACACGGTAGATCTACAAACCTACTTAAACGCACATGAACCCATGTGTTCATATATGCATACACCCCCTCTAATGAACATATATTCCTAAGTCAAGAAAACTTACTCTTGAGTAGCTTCCCTGGCAGAGGATAAGGGGAAAGAGATGTACTTTGCAGCAACAAATAATTTGTTAAAAATTTTTTCTCAGCTGGAAAGGACACTCCAGTCTAAACCTTTGCAAATTTTACAAGGCTGCCACTTGCACAACCATATAATACAATTTGAATGATGTTCTTTGGAGTTGTGCAATGCAGTGACCCTGATTTTTCAAGTGACCTTGAATTCTTGCAATCAGTCAGGCCTTCAGTTAAGAATTTATTGATTGTCTTGCTTTGTGTGGGTGCTGTGGGGCTGCAAAAAGCAGTCCTTGCCCCCAACCTAGTTAGGAAGACAAGATAAGGACACAGAGAACCACGTAAGACAGAATAGAATGAAATGATCCATCTGCTCCTAGGTGTTAAACAGAGTCTGAGCCCTCTTTCATCCCCCAAGGAATTCTATAGTATTTCTGCACTGCAGTGAGGGGCTAGGAGTTGACTCATAGATATACTAAGATCCCTTTGAGCCCCAAGATAGAATCTGGGTGCATGATCAGCAATTTTTGAGTGCTAAGATGACACTTGTTAATTGTTCCATGGAGTTCAAGGGCTGGGCAGAGGTGCTCCAGGACCTCTGGGGATAGAGGTGAGGGTGGAGGTTGGGAGAGGGGTCAGAGAGCGAACAGCTTAACCACCCACCTCTAAATGGAACCAAAGCACCTCCACAACACCATTTTTATCCATTTTAAGTAAAGAGCTTCTATCTGTAATTAAATATGAAAACAAGTTTAGATAAGAAAAGGAAGACTGAAACCTCTGCAGTGACTTCTAGGAGAACTTTGCTGTTCACTATGGCAGCCACCAGTCACATGTGGACTGAGCACTTGAAGTATGTCTAGAATAACTCAGGGACTAAATTCTTCATTTCATTTAGTTTTAACTTCAACTTATTCAATTCAGTTACTGAAAAACTTTTAATTATGTTTGGAACAACTTGGGCATGCAAATCTACTTTTTCTATATTAATTTAAGAAATAAAAATCAAGTATTTCCAACAAAAATATAGCATCCGAATTGAGAGGTGTTAAGCGGAAAATACACACCAGATGTCAAAGATTTCATCTGGAAAAATGAATGTAAAATATCTCAATAATTTTTATATCAATTCTATGTTAAAATAATAATTTGAATATATTAAGTTAAATAAGAGATATTAAAAATTAGTGTCACTTTCTTTAGCATGGCTACTGAAAAATTTAAAATTACATATGTGGCTCATATTACATTTCTATTGGACACTGATGGTCTGGAGGATAAGGTTAAGATGCTCAAAGGATGGGGCAGAGAACAGGAAAATCTTAGTCTGTTTTGAATGTCAAAGTGGCAGAAACCTGGAAAAGAGCAGTGCCCTTGGCTTTGTATAATACCGTTCTGGACAATATCTAAATTATGTCACTATGTCTAGTATCTAACACAGGAGAGACTGCAGTCTGGTTTGTTGAGAACTTTCATGCTGGGGTCTGCACTAAGGACACAGCATGCATTTTCTCATTTCATTTTCATATTACCCCTCTGTGAAGGATAACATAGTACCCATACTACCCCCATTTCACAGACAGATGGGAAAATTGTGGTTTATAGAAGAAAAGTAAACTCCCTAGTGACAGCCTAAGAGCTGAAGACAGGCCATGGGTTCTACTCTGACTGATACCCAAACCTCTGCTCTTATTCATTACATTACATTTTGGAGTAAATGTTGTTTAAAAGTGCGTTCCGAATGGATGAAGGGATCAAGAGAAATATTTTTAGAACAAGCATTATGTATGTTAAAAATAAATAAATAAATAATAAAAAAAGGAGCACCATTTAGAAATCTTACCTATTAAATTGAGACTTTTTAAAAATGGTTTTCATAGGAAGGTCAAAATGGAAATTCTGTTCCACCTTCATCCCCAATCTCCACAAACATAAAAGGTGTAATTTTTATAAAAAAGGTTCCAGACTGGTTTAGCAGGGTGGGGCACTCTTTCAAGTTTTCTCTATAGTAATTTAGGAAGAAACCTTAGCTGGTAAAGGAGATTAATTTGATTCTATGTCCTCTAGGCTCAGAACATGAGGCTGCAGACCGCTGCGAGGCAGAAAGCGTCCTAAGCATGCAAGCAGGAGATCCGGGTCTAATCATAGGCTGTGGGACCACAGGGATCTTCATCAGCAGAGGACGCGTCTTTGAGCAAGGACAGGAAAAAAGGGAGAAGGGGCCCCTAAGGGAACTATCAAAAGGGCTAGGTAAATTGGAACAGAAGCTGGGGTGGGGACTGGCAGGGGGTGGGTGTTGAAGGACAGAGGAGGCTGGGGAGGCAGATAGGGGCAGTGGATGTAGGGCCCTGTAATCCATACTTAAGTGTTTGAACTTAATCGTGAAGCCCACTGTAAACCACTAAAGGAGCATTAAGCCAGGAGGAAAGCAATTAAACTTGTGTTTTTTCTAAAGCACTCTGTGGCAGTATTATAGCAGAGGATAGACTGGGGTTATTGAAAACAGTGTGAAGCTATTTCAGTAATCAAAGAGAGAGAGAAAATATAAGGATCTTCACTGAGGTACTAAATTGAGCTGCAGAAACAGAGGTAGACAGAAGAGATTCCATGGAACAAGAAATAACAGGTCACGGTGGTTGCGTGGATATAGGAAGCACGGTAGAGACTGAGATGCCATGGCCAAACTCCCCTTTAAGGATGGAGTAAAGTCGGCAGACAGCTGCCAGATGTTCCAGGGCCTGCCTCAGTTGCAGAGAGCTGCCTTCCCGAGGTGCTGCACTTCCCAGGACAGCCAGCACCTGGTGACTTGGCAAAGCAGAGGCAGAAGGGCTCTGATGGACACCACTCACTCCAGAGACTCCGCTGGGTTCACCAAGGTGCTGCAAGAATGTACCTTGGTTCAGCTCTTTTTCCTCTACCCAGTCCTTCTCTCTCTTCCTTCTTTCACAGTTGACCATCCTTAATGCCCCCCAAATCTGTCTCAACCTTTGCTTCTGGAAAACCCAACCTACAGCAGTGAACTAGCCTTCTCCTCAATCCAGTGGTTAGGGATGAAAATAAATATATACAAGGACAAACATCCCTTCTTTCATTTGGAACCACAGCCTTCAGGAATAGGCTATCTGGACTCCAAGCAGGAAGGAGCTTTGTTTATTTACAGACCAAAATGAAACAGCTTTGCACAAGAGAGGATGATAGAAATAGGTGAGAATCCCTGAGAAATCACCCCTTCAAAATCACACTCTAAGTGTATCAGCCAGAGGTACACTGAGGACACTAGAGCTGTCAGAAGCAAACATTAGTGCCTCCTGACAACTTTTCTCAATCTAATCCTTGCTTGGCTTTTCTTTCACCATAAAATTAAATTATTCACAGCATTGCTTTTCCCAGAAATCAAGACTTCACTGCCTGAGCATTTGCAGTTCTTTCTAGGCTTCACTCAACCATTCATTCATGCATTTTAACAAACATTTCAGTAACAATAGAACTAATGATGGCCTGCATAGATTTCCATCTACTATGTGCTAAGATCTAGGTGCTGAGGTCTCATATTGTGGTTTGGGACAAAGATGATGAAAAACTAAGACTCTTAGGACCATGTAGAAAATGCTAGAAAGGTGAAACGTGTACATGGTGTTCCCAGAGAACTGCGGAGGGTCCAGTTAGGGTGGCTAGTAGAGTGAATACAGTCTTCAAGGTGAAGATGACTTTGAAGCCTGTGTGGAAAGGGAAGTTGGAGATTGGTGGTTTCAGTGCTGGCATGCTCTGGGGAAAGGGATGACAGCAGAGCAAAAAGTGAGTTTACTGTAGGGAGCCCTGAGGGGCATGGTGTGTTTTAGGCATTGAGTATGTAGCAAAAAGGGGTCCAGGGAGGAATAGAGAACTGGAACAGACTGGACGAAAGGCAGCGGAGGGCTTCAGGTGTGGCCAGGCAATAAGGAATTGCCCAGAGGAGCATGACTGTGAGTGCTCAGATTGGGTTTTTAAGAAGATAAACGTGGCCAGACATGGTGGCTCACACCTGTAATCCCCAGCACTTTCAGAGGCTGAAGTGGGCGGATCGCGAGGTCAGGAGTTTGAGACCAGCCTGGCCAACATGGTGAAACCCTGGCTCTACTAAAAATAGCTGAGTATGGTGGCAGTTGCCTATAATTCCAGCTACTCAGGAGGCTGAGGCAGGAGAATCGCCTGAACCCAGGAAGGCGGAGGGTGCAATAAGCTGAGATTGCGCCACTGCACTCCAGCCTGGGCAACAAGAGCAAGACTCCATTTCAAAGAAAGAAAGAACTAGGTAAACACGCAGTGTAAAGAAAAGCTTGAGGAATAATTTTTATCTTTAAAACAGTCAAACCAAGTGAAAAATGCAGGCTGCAAAACATTATGTAGTATATGACTTCCTTTTGTTAAATTAACTTAAACGTGTCTCTCTGTAATTTCAACCTAAAGGTTTCTTCATACATAGTGACTGTAACCTAACTGGATTTGTAAACACACTGTAGCCTACTCTTGTAACTAGAAGCCGCGTCTCAGCCAATCACAGAAGATATA